GCAGGGACCCCAGTCAGAGTGATGATGAAGCCCATTCCTGTGCTAAATGGGTCCGAATAAAGAGACAGTGCAACCATGAAGAAACATGTGAAGGAAAACAAAGCTGGAATGAACAGTGGTACCTGGAACACAACACAGAAAAAAAAGAAAAATCATTTCAAACATAGTTCAAGAGACAAAAAGTGAGTTCAAGATAAGCACACCAGTCATGTGATGTACTTTAGTAATACACTTTAGTCACGTGACCAGGTGACAGGCACCCACCCACCTTACCTTAGCAGCAAGATCTCTTTCATGGGGCACAGAGAATGTATTAAAAATACCCCCTTTGATTTAATTTAATTCAATTTAATGTAATTTAAATTGCATTTTTTAAATCTTTGGCTAGAGCAAAGGATAGAAAAGAATGTTTCATTGGAGATGTCCTATTTGAATTATTTTACTGGTTAAGTATGATCATAATTTACATTTTTCATTTTTAAAAGACTGACTCTTTGATAATTATGATTAGAATCCACTTTAACGTAGAGTCAAAAGCACCGGCTGCTTGTTACATGTTAAAGCCTTTCGGTGCATATTGATTTTCTGTTGAGATCCACAGGAATAAAACAAGCCAACTCCTATTCAACCGCTAATAAAGATGCTGCCCGCGTTAGGCAATGAATATAATTAGAAACAAATTTTGACAACATGATTGACAACACTGTCTGTGCCATTTCTTAAAAGCAAATAAATCGTGAGATAAAATCAATCCATGAGCATTCGAGGCTGCAGGAGATGACAGGCATATTCTTCAGCCCTCCCAAAAGGAAATGCCTAGTCATGGTAAATGGGCATTCCATTAATTGGTAAATGCCTGGTTCTTCTCTTTCCCTGTCTATTTTGTATTTCTGTTCTTTTTAGAGTGTATAACATAGAAAAAGAGCAATGTAACAAGTCACCACATTTAAGTACTTAAAATGCCTATTTTGTAAAGCAGCATCCTTTTTAGAGTTTTAATTAATAATCTATCTGCCTCCCGCTTTCTCAGCATGGCTATCCACTACTATTCAGCATGAAGATAGAGAGAAGTATCTCATACTTGGAACATACCAGGTCATTGGACACATTCATGAAAAATCAACATAAACATCCATTAATACTCTCTCTTTTCAAAAATGGGGCATACAAAGCTTAATATATCACATAAAAAAATTTGATGAACTATTTTTTCCAAGCCAAAATAAATCCACTATGAAGGTACTATCTGCAAAAATGAAACACTTTACTCCACAGGACGCTGGCGCCTGCCCACCCTCCCACCCCCTCATCTAGTTATGACAAAAGGAGGACCAGGTATTAGGGGAAAGATTTATGTAAACCCATCAAGACTGCTGAGGTTACCTTGAAAGGACGATGCATATCTGGGCATTTGTATCGAAGATAAATCAGCCCGGCAACTGCCAGCCCAATAAAAAGCCACCTGGCAAAACTGAGGAAATTCAAAAGACTGTAGAGGTCTCCAGAGAAGAGCATTATCATTGTCAAAGGGTGCTGGGAGGAAAAGGGAGAAAAACCAAGTTTGCTGAATTAAACAACAACACAGGTGAAAAACAATAATGTCACTACATATTAGTATTATCTTTTTCAAATGATTATTATACTGATAAACTATCATCCTGACTAAAATCTAGATTGACTAACGCCTTTTCTATATTCTGCTCTTATATGCCCTTTACACACAAGTAACAGTCTCAGAGTGCCATCATCATTACTGCGTATTCCAGAGAAATTTTACAGGGATGTTTTGTTTTGGTTTTAGTTCCTTTTACATTTGAGAAAAGAGAATATGTTTTCAAAGAGTGAAAGACAGGATACTCAGTGACTCAGTACTTAAAGATCCAGAGACTGAGATGATTAATCAATAACCAAAGATAAAAATTAAAAGTGCACCCAATTGGAAAATTCGCAGAAAGCTCAGAGAATGCTTTCTGATGAGCTCTTGGCTATACACACACATGAAACACAGCCACTTAGAGGTTGGCTCTTGAGGGCAAAACGTTGACCTTTCTTCCTCCATGTTTACTCCTTCCATGTGCTTGCCATGTGTGACCCTCATGACCTTGAAAAAGAAGGAAGCACAGAGATCACTATAGCAAGTCTCTGCAGCTGCACATGCCAAGGACAGCATGACTGATAGCAGAGGCTTAAAATGAAAGCCTCTTCACAGAATAATACATTCTGTTCCCACAAGTGATGGTAACTTTCAGATTCCACACAGAGTGTATGCATACTTTAAAAAGAAATTTCAAGGAAACATTCTGAAACAAATTAAATGCATGAAAAAAAA